CTAAGAACGAACGTTTATCGCGCATAATCTGCTGAATGTGTTTTTACTGTTAAAAGCATTAAGTTTCTGTACTTTCCTTATAAGGGCTATATTATCGATAAATATCCGGCAGACCAAGTTTCTAAGAACGAACGTTTATCGCGCATAATCTGCTAAATGTGTTTTTACTATTTAAAAAAAAACAGTTATAAATGTTATCAATACCAACTTAGAAGAAAAAGTGAAAGAAATGAGCAAATGTTGGGCAGAAAATGGAAGACAACTATGGCACAAAATTAGATTTGGGTATTCATGGCAAAATCAACGAGTTATTTGAAATTTATTTACCTTATAGTATTTGTCTGGCCGGTAGTATATAAAGAGGTAGAGCAAAAGCAACAATGCCTGATGGTGACATGTGATACGTCCAAACATGTCGTTTACTAGTTACGTAAAGTTCACTTTAGTATATCCTTGTTATGTTGATCACATGAAAAAATACATATCAGAATTATATTACAAATTTTATCCCAAAGATAATTTTATTAATTTCTTAAGATCAGAAAACATCTCTAATTTAGTCACATATATTTTTCGTGCATTTAAATAAATAAGTGTTTTGTTAAAAGCATTAAGTTTCTGTACTTTTCTTATAAGGGCTATATTATCGATAAATATCCCAGACCAAGTTTCTAAGAACGAACGTTTATCGCGCATAATCTGCTGAATGTGTTTTTACTGTTAAAAGCATTAAGTTTCTGTACTTTCCTTATAAGGGCTATATTATCGATAAATATCCGGCAGACCAAGTTTCTAAGAACGAATTATCGCGCATAATCTGCTGAATGTGTTTTTACTATTAAAAAAAAAAACTGTTATGCCATACTTTCAGCAATACCAAGCCAGAAGTCTGCTACTATAGCAATAGATCAGAGATTAACCCGGTTAAATTAGAATCTGGTAAGTAACAAACTGTTGGGATAAAATACAAATACATGCCAGTACAGTATACTATAGTGTTTATACATCAACCCACCATTTAGAAGTCCTCACAGTACACAATAATAGTGACCAAGTTAAATAATCAGCATAGTGTTATGTAGAGTGATGATGATGATGATGATGATGATGATGGTCAAAAGTATACTGTTTTTGTTTTTACTAAGTGCCGTGGCGCTCATTAGATATATTCTGTTTAAATAAGCATTGTGGTGCTTAGTTTGTAGTTAACCATACATATTTGGGATACTATTTAACAGCTTTTATCCCACATACTAAATGATAATATGGCAGCTGACTCTCAATGAATTATAGTAAAACTTGGCTTAAGCTGCCCCTGACCAAAATATGTTGTATTGTACGTTGTAAATATTCGCTGGTTGAATAAATAAATGAAATAAATAATAATAACGTAACAAGCCATAGGCATACATTCAACACATGCATGGAAAGGACCACTTCAATAATTTGCAATAAATGCCACTCTCGATTAGGCGACGCAAACTTCCAAAATTGGCATGAGTGCCGCTGTGCTTATTTTGATTATTTACAGTATGTGTCTGTCTATCTGTCTGTTTATTTTTTAAAAGCATAAATTTAATTCCCTAACTATAATAATAATAATATTAATAATAATAATAATAATAATAATAATAATAATAATAATAATATTAATAATATTAATAATAATAATATAAATAATTATATTAATAATAATAACAGTTAGAAACAGTAATAATAACTTAAGGCTAATTTATGGTTGGTCATTAACATCCGCCCTTTGTTCAGTTATTGTTTTTTCTTGCTGCTGGGTGACCATAAACACCCTCTCCTCAGCAGCCATTGACACTTGATGGAGTTGTCAGTTTAGTCGCTGACGGCTTGAACGAATGGAGTTTTATGTCATACCCTGTACGTTCCTAAGTACATTAAACTAGCTACCGGTACCGTATTCTTAACTATTAACCATGTTGGCTAAACTACCACCCCCCCCCCCCGCACTCCATCCCGATATTTAGGAGTTTCGGGGCCAGTTCATGAATCATAAAAGTTGATCAGTAAAAAAATGAGTTTTAAGAAGTGATTTAATTGTATTGATAGAATGTGAAGTGGGATGTTATTCCAATTGGTTGGAGAAGCAACTGAAAAAGCACAATTGCCATGGATGACTGTGTGAGTGTTTTAAGTGTGTGAAAAAGCCCTTTCTAGAACGTAATGACCCTGTACGTTCCTAAGTACATTAAACTAGCTACCGGTACCGTATTCTTAACTATTAACCATGTTGGCTAAACTACCACCCCCCCCCCCCGCACTCCATCCCGATATTTAGGAGTTTCGGGGCCAGTTCATGAATCATAAAAGTTGATCAGTAAAAAAATGAGTTTTAAGAAGTGATTTAATTGTATTGATAGAATGTGAAGTGGGATGTTATTCCAATTGGTTGGAGAAGCAACTGAAAAAGCACAATTGCCATGGATGACTGTGTGAGTGTTTTAGGTGTGTGAAAAAGCCCTTTCTAGAACGTAATGTTCGCTTGGTGGAGTAATCAAGTATTAAGCTTGTGATACGAGGTGTGTTGCTATGCCTGGACTTAAATGTAATAAAAATAATTTTGAAAATCACTCGTTAATGAACGGGCAGCCAGTGAAGTGAATGAAGAATTGGTGTTACTTGATTTTAACCAGAAGTACAGTGAATGAACTTGAGTTTTATTCTCATTGAGGAAGAAATGATTCGAATTAGCATGTGATGATACTATTGTAACTGTTGTCTCAGACTACTTATAGTTCTAAGTAAGTAAACCACGGGCTTTCCCAACAGGGCTATGAGGCCAAATTGGTATACTCCATTTGATTCACTTTTTTATTTAAATATTAAATATTAACAAATCAATGTTGGTATACTATAAACAATATTGCTTTCAAGTACCCGTGATCCAAAGATGTACATTTAAAAAGTCCTTGCCTGATCAAGCTGACAATTCGTAAATTTAAGAAACAATATTAATGTATAACGATTGCACTGCGCTACTGAATTCAGTATCGGCGTTCCATAAATTCACGGCGTTCACGGGTTCATTAAAATACAGCAGTATCTTCTCCATTAAGGTGTTCAATAAATGGGTGAAAATAGTTTTTGATTCAAATCCAAGACCCTTTTATTACATTACTGATACATTCAGTTTCCTACCAATAATTTCTCTCGAAATATTTGTTCATTTGTTGTCTTTACTCTAGGTTGCTATGGCCTCTCCAACACTGTATTGTCCGAGCCCTGGCCCAGGGCAAAACGTGGTAGAACATTTCTTGAGAAGCTCCTGGATGACAACCCAAATATCCCCCCAGAAAAACTTACAGAAAAATTGATGGCTTTTGCTGCAAAGACAGAGTGGTTGGTAGAAAAATTATTGCCGTATATAGAAAAGCATTAAACAAGATGGGGAGCCACTCAATGCCAAGATATAGAAACGGACGATTTCACGCCGTTTTACTCTGTAATATTGGATCAGATTCCTTTAAACAAGTTTGTAAAGATTTCTCTCGGCAGTTGGGCAGATTTCTCAAAAAATTTCAAAAGATTGTAGAATTTACTACATCAAATATATGACTAAATTTTGTCACAGCACAGTATTATTACATCACAGAAAACCAAAATTTTAAAACGTCATCAGATCGTGAATGTGATGTAGGACCTCAACAAACACTGCAAAATAAGGTGGCAGATTTAAAAACAAAATTCCGCGCAATTTTGTCCCGCTGACACGTTTAGAAGTTAAATATGTTTAGGTTCCAGACGCATTTAGCAATAAATGTTTTTAGGTATTTGACATCATGACATCGAATACCTAAGCACATTTTATGCTAAACCCGTCAAGATCCTAAACACACTTAGCTGTCTAAACACGTTTAGCTTTTAAACGTGTCACCAAAAAGCGGGAAAATTATATGGAGCTTTGTTCTTTTTACAGTAATAATCAGTTTTTATCTTAATGTTTTATGATATCTGTTATTAATTCTAGTTGCCCTTCTAGTAGCCCTTAACCGGCTTTTTGGAGCCAGTGTTTTTTTAGGCCGTCTAATGTCGGACTTAACCCTTGGGGATATCTTCAAACTGTTTTTATTTATGACTTTAATGGTCTAACAAACATTAAGGGGTCGAACCTCCTAGGCAAACTTGGATGAGATCCTCTGTTGCTATAGCTCCCATGCTACTTTTGATTACTGTATGTAATTATTTAGCCGACGTGATCGTAGTAGCAATGAAGACAAAAATGTATACACTTTCCTTGTAGTTTTCCTGATACACGAGCCGTTTCTACGTTTGAGGAGATTTTAGACGTTTTACCAGAAATGGTGTTTGCTGAAATACCTGTATTTGGCACCAGGTAGGCTTGTAGACCATGTTTGTATACTTCATGTGGCTATTTTTGGTATTCTTGTTTGTTAGATTTATTATTTTTCTTGTCTCTCAACAGTGTGATAAACATCTTACTGCTAAGCATTAGGTTATTAATAATGAAATACCTTTGACAAAGGCATAGACTTTGTTTACTATAAATTATTTCATAATCTTGTATATCTTTTGTTTTTTTTTATGTATGTTTTATGTAAAAATGGTTAGTTTAGGAGAGCCACTTGTGGTAATCCTCAGGTGATGAACATCAGTTTTGTCTTGTATTGTTTTTACCTGTATATAGAATAATAAAACAAATCAGAAGAAGCCCTGATTTTTACAAATTAAAAAAATTATGGGAGATAAAAAGAAATTACATTCAAAAAAAAAACTTTACCAACCCTAGTAGGCTGAAGTGCAATCTTCCCCTATTTGGAAAATTGCTTTCTGAACCCCACTTCCGGCTCTACTTCGAATTTCATGATCCGCTACTGTTTAATGTTGTTCTTTTGTGGCGAATCTTCTATCAATAATCTTATTGGTGAAATATCAACTATAAATCACCCTGAAATTGAAAGAAATTGAGGAAAAAAGAAGATTACATTCAAATTTTGACTCTAACCATGCTAAACCCGACCGTCGAGAAGTGCAATAGACATACAATACCTCAGCCCCAACCATTTCAGTTCAATTCAATTCAGCTTGACATTTGTTTACTTCCTTTTTGAACAAAAATGTACAATACAACACAATTTTCAATACAACACAATTTTAAAAAATAGAACTTTTACACTAGAATGATTCAATAACAATTTGTTGTGTATACGATAACAAAATAATTTAACAAATAAATTCAAATGACTTCATAATCATAGAAAAACGATAAAATCGTCGTTACTACCACGATATATCGTTATCGAATCGTCCTAGATTAAAACCTTATCTTATTTCTTTTATTTTCTATATGAACAAAATTGCTTTTTAGCTGATAATTCGGCTGACAACCGATTCCAAAAGAACACAACGCCACGAAGCACTCGCAACAATGGCTATGGTAACACCATTGATTGTTAACGTATAAAGTAACATTAATTAAACTATTATTTTTCACGTTTGAATAAATGGTGTTGGGGTGAGGTGGTGCTCAGGCATCATGAACCCCCTGTTTACGCCACTGACAATGGGCCTTTCTGCTAAGCCCTACCCCTTGGTATTGTTGCAAGGTCCCAAAAAACAACAGCGTAAATGGACGTAAACATGTTCGTATGTGACCACACGTGTGATTGTAGGACATGCGCGTATTCCTGGCCTTGTTCTGATTGGTCAGTTGTTAAGTTTGATTGACACTCCGGAAATTTCCATTATCTTTGGACTGTAATGCACGATTTTCGTTAATTTCAGAACTACTACTGTCATCCTGATTGACAGCAATGACAAAGTAACATTTACGGAGAAGACCAGGCTTGACCCAATGGACAACTCGCAAGCAAAATGGTTTTCTAAAACACACGTTTTTAATCTGACTTCCCGTCATGAGAAGCAATAAAGAAGTTGCAGAGAAGCAATAAAGAAATTGTAGAGAAGCAATAAAGAAGTTGTAATTACAAAGAACAAATAGACAGTTTATAACCTCGTTGTCATGATTTTAACTGTTTGTTCCGGTAGTATTATAAGTGTAAGCATTCAACTGTGCTTGAATCTACACATACGAATAGTTGACGAACTGAAGGAATCATGTATGCCATAGGCATTTATATTAATGAAATGTATGCCTCAATAATGCAAAGGCTGGTTGTGAGCTGAGAGGCACCAAACTAAACCAAGGGCGCAGATCTGTTTTTTTTTTGGGGGGGGGTCATTTCGTGAGACCACACCCAGCCCCACCATGGTTGGGGCTGAGGTTCGAAAGTTTGAGGAAATAGTACCTCTAGATGGCCGGAAATGACACTCTTATAGTAAAATTCTTCATCATCACATCACCATTATTTATCATGATCTTTTATGAGCGTTTTCCGCCAACAGAGATCTAATTAATGTGTGATGTACCATAGAATAAAAAATTTAAAACATTGTCTTCGATGTATACACTGCACCTACTACCGTTTGTCCACACCCACTTCAGCCCCACCATGGTTGATTTATAAGCGAATGTAAGCATTTCCGTGCGTACACACACATACTGCATGTAGAGCATAAATGTTTTTCTTTTAATTGTGTTCTATATTCTTAAATGTTCAAATAATTTCATTTGGTTTCTGTAAATTACCGTATGTATACTGACCGAAAATTGGTTCAAAGTGTAGCAGAGGCGTTGGCTTGCTTTGCTGCGTTATCGGACCGATGACGTCGGACCTTCGCTAGGTGGTGCGGCTGTCTGGGTGTTGATAGTCTTCCCTGTCGAACAACACCCAACGACAGGGAGGACAGCTAGCATTCGGCTGGCTGTGTTGCCTTTGGCGGGGGTCTGATGGCGTCGGTTGGTGGCGTTGTGGGGTGAGTTAGCGTCTTGATTTGCTTTGCACGACTTTTCAAATCAATTCTTATATTCTTAGTGTTTAATTTGATTGGCGGGTGAGCAATAATGTAATTTGAGTAATGTGCAAATCTCTTTAAAATAAAGAATTTAATTTTATATTTTTGTTGCTTACATTTTGTTCCTATCTGGATACACCGTTAGGTTTTGTCTAAGGCGTGCAACTGTTATGAAAGTATAATCCAATAAATATTGTATTGTATTGTTATAGTAAAATTCGTTATCATCACATCACCATTGTAGTCAAAATTAAGCACAAACGAATTTCTCATGAATATTTCAACATAATATAACACACCATGGCTGGAGCTAAGGTATGAAAATTTGAGGAAATAGTACCTCACCCTAGCCGGAAATGACACTATAAAGAGCAAATGCAATCACTTTGTTTATTCTGTATATGGATAATAATTTAATGCTAATAATAACAATAATACGGAAAATAACATTTTAATAATTATAAAGAGCAAATGTAATAACTTTTTTATTTTGTATGGATAATAATTTAATGATAATAATAACAATAATAAGAATAATGAAAATGTAATAACTATAAAGAGCAAATGTAATAACCTTGTTTATTCTGTATGGATAATAATATGATCGTCAAATATGATTTTTGTGTTTTAAAAAAAAATCATTTGTACAACGTAGGCCTATCAAACATAGTTTTCCCTCCGTAGCCTGGCTTTAAATGTGATGCCGTTGCATTTAGAAGTTCTTGAATAAAAAACCTGCGAGTTTTTCATGTGTATTCAATCAAGACGCAATCATTACTTTTCATAATAGTTAATTCAAATTTTAATTAATAATAATGCGATTGATAAAGATACTACATGATATATTTTTGAAACATTTTGAAAAATATAATATTAAAAAAGTGAGGTTACTACGAATCACTATTATTACAACTTTTTAAGTATGAAGAAAGTAGGCCTACTGCATGGTTTTCAATATAATTTCAAATGAACATTTCAGTTTTAATTTTCTTTTTCTTTTTTTTTTTATCTGGTCTACCTGATTATTGATACTTGTACTTATTAACCAATAAGATATGATGTTGATTTCTGTAAGTTCATTTTGCTACTTAACCAACATTGTAAAACCCAAAGTTAAATCTGTTTAAAGCTTTACGCTCTACAGGAGAGGAAAAAAATTGATATGTTGTTCAACAGATTTTTAAGACACTGAAGGGGCCTTTGACGAAAAACCCGGGATTGTTCATAAGGTACAATGTTTTAATGGAGTATTTAAAAACATAGGGAGGGCGGAAATTATGTCAACAAATCAACTTCTTTTATTACTGCGTATACAGCATAAATACGTGCCAAAAAATAAGTGACAAATTGAATATACTGTATGACCTAAATAATGTATTACTAACTATATATTAAGGGGTAGGAACGTCATTCAACGTAAGATCTAAATGACCCGCATACTCAACCTAACCGAACTATGCATCCTGGGGTAGGGACCATTTATCTACAAGTTCTTTTTAATAGATGTTGTTTTTTGTGTACTCTCTTATTTCTTGTTTTGAAGAATGCACTGCCCGAGGTAGACTGGGTTTCAGTCCCTAATTTTGTCTGTAAAAACTATCTATACTAGGAAAAATCAATAAATTATAGACTTGTGGCAAGTCTATGCCTGAGGGTTTGTGACGTTGTTTTAACAGCGTAGTGTCCAATGATAAATTGATTGATTGTTAGAAATGTTTTGTTGAGAAATTCTCTACCTTTCGATTGAGTTGCTTCATTGTATCAGGAGAATGTCTACATAATTATGATAAAGGTTGCTGTTGATTGGTGGAAAATTGCATGTGGCTAGGTGTGAAATTGTTAATAAAGCGAGTATATGGTATAGTTTGTTACACTATTTTGTGTAATAGACCTATTGACTTTGATTAATTGATTGATTGATTACATTGTATCCTGTGCTTTTAAAGCCAAGATTTAATATTAACGTATTTTATTTTGTGATATACTAATTTTAACATATTTTAAATTGTACTTTACCATATTTACCATTTGTATACAAAGGTGTATTATTTATGGACAAGCCAATAAAATCTTGAATCTTGACATCTTATGTTCTGTAGGCCTAGATCTATATCGAGAAATCGAAAATCTGTCTCTTATACACATCTAGATGTGTATAAGAGACAGACATTGTATCCTGTGCTTTTAAAGCCAAGATTTAATATTAACGTATTTTATTTTGTGATATACTAATTTTAACATATTTTAAATTGTACTTTATCATATTTACCATTTGTATACAAAGGTGTATTATTTATGGACAAGCCAATAAAATCTTGAATCTTGACATCTTATGTTCTGTAGGCCTAGATCTATATCGAGAAATCGAGTTCCTAGTCCACATATCAAGCGCCCTGAGCATCTTACATTAGATGGATATGTGCGCTATATAAAACTACCCTATTATTATTATACGTTTTTATTTATTTTCATTTTAAAAGTGCATCGTCCACTTGGGCGTGCCACTCATCCAAATAAAAAGTTTAATAAATATAATTAAATAAACTAGAACAGTCATTTCATGAAGTGCCCTTGAAAACCAACAATTGCAGGCCGTGTATGATGGGTGAAACTGCAGCATACCCTCTAATGGAATCGCCCTCCTGATTCAGGTACATTAATGCAACCTGAATACGAGGGGAGAATCTATGAACAGGAAGTTTTCTGTTTGCTCGAAAATGTGACGCTAGAACGGATTGATTCATGCATGCTATGGTTTTCTCTGTACACAACAAATTGTGTCCCAGAATTCACGCGACGTTCGGGAACCAGAGTTGCCCTCTGCCCTCAACGATGATGCATTCACCACACGACATCTTGTGACATGTGCACAACAGAAAACGTAAACAAGAGGTGAAAGCATAGAATGAATTATGTCTCGATTGGTTGTTAAAAATCTGCCAAAAAGGGTAAGCATTATTTAAATTGATACACTATATTGTAGGAAACTCCCGTCATTGAAAGTTGGCGTTTAAAGTGACATGGCCAGTTTACGACTACATCACGACCTAGGCCTAGGGCCTAGACGTATCGTAGGTGACCGGCCAGCCTACGGGTAGGCCAACAACAGATGATCAGGCCCGAATAGAGTGTGGACGACCGGGTCCACCTCTAGGCCTAATGTGGTCTATCGGGTCCACTTTCAAAAACGGAGGTTAGACGATCGGGGCCATTTTTTCAAAGACAAAGATAGGCATGACACAACAATCAAATACAAACCTGTAAATATACATAGCCTAAAATCACGTGAAAAGTAACTAGTCTACACGGTATGGAGATTTTACCTTAAATATTTGAGAAAAACGTATTTCCCCCTCGCCTCGGGATTCGAACCCAAGACCTTCCTATTACCATTCAGATACTCTACCAAATGAGCTATGAGGCCAAGTGGCATAAACCCTTGGGTTTTCCCATTAGGACACGTTTTTTTCTCAAGCCAAGGTATTACTATTGCATAATACGCAACGAACAATAGAAAATCACATGAAAGTAACGACGATATAGAGATATACTGTACTTCCACTGGTGTTGATTAAAGATGATAATAAGTATTTGAGAAAAAACGTATGTCCCCATCAACCAGTACCAGTAGTAAAGTTTATCATCCACACAGGTTATTGGAAGAATGCTATATTGTAAAATAACAAACTTTTTTTTCCCTTACAAAGTGTATTACTTATGTATTGCTGTTTTGTACTGTAATTTTTAGAAGCTGAAAATATCTAAATATGGTGACCGATCCTGGAGATTTTAAAATGGTAAACAACTTTGACCCCTGACTTACCTGAAAAAAAAACATCTTAACCAATCAAAAGGCATTTTTTATGCATTTCAATTTCAAGAGACATTATTTACTTCCGTAAAACAAACATAAATATACAATATGATTTAAAACATAAATAATCTATTGAAGAAGGCATGATCCTGTGAAGATAAAAATCTTGTGATGGACATGCCTTAAAGAATAAACATATGTTCTAGTATCCTATTTTGATATCTTCCATACCCATGAAATTATAACTGTGAAAGTCCAGCTTGTTGTACAGTAGGTTGGTCGACTTCTCTGGTAAAACAGTTGACGTAATTACATGTGCATGCGTAAAGAGAAGAACAGCCTTGATGACTGAGTTATTGATTCTTCCTAGGAGAAAAGCATGATGTTCATGAGATGGTCTGAAAACATCTTTTTACCTTACTGACTACAAATAGTTAACTAGAGATATAGTTTGTTGTCACGACAGTCCGATTAATTTACTGATGTCTATTCTCGTGAACATTACAAAAGGAATAAATACACTATAGAATATTTGAGTAATGAACAACCCTGATTTCACATTAACAAAGGAACAGAATCACGACATTGACAAAATTTTAACAGATAAGCCAAAGATAGAAACAAGATTACACCCAATGAAACCATTAACACATTTGTAAAAATAAAGAGAATAAGAATAATTTTGTCTAGTACTCCATTTGTTAATATACAATTTTTGTCTTTCTTTTTAATGAAAGATTATTAATGTTACTTTTTTCAATATTTTAATAATTGTATATTTGGTGTTTTTGAACGAATAAAATTCATGAATGAATTAATCTTTGATGCAACAAAGCCTGATTGTTTATACATTTTCTTGTCTTAGGTAAAGGAAGAAAAGATAAAGGAAACATTCGGTAAGATAGGCGAGATCACAGATTTGCAACTGAAATATACCAAGGCTGGAAAATTCCGTCAATTTGCATTTGTTGGGTACAAAAGCAATGCAGAGGCAGAAAAAGCAGTCAAATTCTTCAACAAGACATTTCTTGATTCTTCAAGACTACAAGTTAGTATTTAATATAAATGTTAAATGTCACTTAATGTTTACAATTAATGAGTGGTTGGGTCTTCCACAAGCACTGCGTATTAAAGAACTCCGTACCCTTTGAATGAAAAGAAGAGTAGGTGATTGTCTCTTGGTGTCTGAGCGGATTCAAGGAGGGGAGGAAGAGGGGTGGTTATCACTGAATATCCAACCTGCAAATTCTTTCAATATGTTGTTTTAGGAGGTAGGTAAATGGAAGAAGATCATAATTCATTGATATTATGAGTATTAATATTCTTTATTGTATTTTTAAAGGTTGAATTATGCAAATCAATTGGAGATCCTGATGCCGTGAGACCATGGAGTAAGTACTCCAGTGAAAGTTCTGCATACAAAAAGAGGCAGGAAAGGCTGAAGACAAAGACTGATGGAAAACCTAAAAAGGAAAGAGATGTGAGTTATCTGTTAAAGCAGTATCATTTTGTGCTTTAACATATGCAGGAAAATTTGTTTTCTCGATGTACATAATTTATTCTGATTTAATTAAAATTTCAAATTTTATGTAAAAAAACCCCAAAATGGAGAAGTAAAATGCAATGGTAAAGTTAAATAGTAACAGAGCTTCATTTAAGTACCTATGTTAAAAACAAGCATTTTGATTAGTTGGAAATCTTTAATTCGGTGCACCCATTTATCCAAATGCAGAATACAAGATTATGTCATTCTTTTGGCATCTGAGTACCTGCATTCAGTGTTTTACAAATCCCTTATACCAGTCTCCAAAGTAACTCTTGCTGGGGTTGTCTAGAATGAGAAAAAAACTATTTGTTACTGCTGAACTGGTGTTTCACCTGTAATAGATGTGAGTTTTTGTTAATTTGCAGACAAAGAAAACTATAGATGATAATGAAGAAGAAGAGAAGGAGGTAAGTGGATGTAAAAATGATTATTACTGATCATTGAATTGCAAACATGCAGTCTCCCACACCCTCTAATACATTGGAAGTATTTATAGTCACAGAGCAGTGTATTGCACTTTATAACACACCTAAATAGATCCCTGTCATCACTCATCGTTGAAATTTATTTTTATCCATGCATTTTCCTTTTCATTCGTTTTTTGCAATAAAATGAAATGACTTCAACCTTAGACAATCTTTTGATTGGTTAAAAAGACACAGACTGACTTTTTTCCGGAAGGACGTAACCTCTACCTTCGCTTTATTTTTTATAAGCCTACTTCTTGCTGAACTTGTCTTAGCGGTGTGCAATGTATCAGAGATTTTGTTTAATCAGGGAGTTGTTATGGTTTACTGTAGAATATTTAATTGCTTAGATGATCCCTCAAAAACTAGCTCAAATTTGGCAAAATGTGTACAGAATTCGGCACTTATTTCCAAAATGCAAGGACGGATATAGCCTATTCCCCGTGCAGGCAACAGGAATTACTTTTACAGTCTGGGACACTTGCTTGGAAGATGATCAAAGACAAGTCAAGGATCTATTTAGGCCTAGGTGTGTTATAAAACAAATAATGAATGTTTTGTATCGAAAAAATGTTTTCATTCATTGAAAGATTGACTGTTCCATTCAACTTGGTTCTGGTGACAGGCAAAATTTGGGTACTAAAATTAGCCACTTTAAAAAAAATGACTTTGTGGTTTTAATTAATTTTTAGGAAAAGAAAGATATAGAGTTGGAGGAGTTCATTGCACTGCACCAAAAACCCAACAAGTCTCATGTCTGGGGCAATGATCTGGTAGCTGGTGTCACGCAGAAAGATCCTAGACAGCAGAAAGGGGAAAGGAGGCCGGCACCAAGTGGTGATCATGTAATGCAAGATTCAGATGAAGTGGACAGTGATAGTGGTAAGTAGTAAGTTTTATACACCTGGTTTTGAAGGGATGGAGCTATAGTAAGGTGATGCTGATACTTGTCTTCTACCCCAGTGTCTTATGAACACAGAACCAATAGGTTCACATTTTAATGTATAATGACCAACGATGGTTCACAATATCGTAAAATGCACCATATGGTATACCAACAGTGGTATGCTATAGGGTATTGTGAACAATATAGTGTACCATAATTGGAGTGATACTTTATAGTATTGAAACAAAGAGGGCTTAAATCAGTTCTGTGGAGCCCCTGGCTTTCCCCATATATGGTGATATCTGTTTCTTCCCAAGTATGCAAATTCATGCACGACCACTGTGAAACACAAGGAACGCTCTTGTAAACACAAGGAGAGCTATCATGAAAAAAAAATTAAATAAAACATGATATTTGATTTTATAGGGAAGATGTTAACTTTATTTTGTACTTGCAATTTATATATTTTCACTTACATAGAGAGTGAAGTTGATGATACAATTAAGCAAGATGAAGTAACAGAACCTATCATTGAAGAAGATATGAAAAACAAAGTGGCACTTAAAAAAGGCTTATCTGATTTAGATGTGAGTTATTGGAATCATTTATGTTTTACTTGATATCAAATGAGTCCGTCCATCCATCAATGTACCAATACATATAATTTCATTTAATTTATTTTGTCAAACATTACAAACAGAAATAACAACAGACCAAAAATCAGATACTTTTATTCGTCTATCAACCAACTAATCAATTCATCCATCAATCAATTTATCAATCCATCAGGTAATCCATTATTCAATCAATCTATGGTGTTCATCTACAGTATCAATCTGTTTGTTTATTAATCAATCAATTCATGATTTCAACAATAAATCCATTAATCCATCAATCAACCAATCTCAATCAATCAATCAATCCATTGATCAGTCCATCAATTAATCAGTCCATCCATCCATCAACCAATCCATCCATCTATCCCATTATCAATCCATTTCCTCCAATTATCAATCCATCCAACAATCCATCACCCTATCATCGATTTATCTATCAATTTATCAATTCAGTAATCAATCGATCAATATCGGCCAGTCAGTCAATCAATCTATCCATCCATTAAGCAATCAATCCATGCATCTCTCCAATTATCAATCCATCCAACAATCCATCTCTTTATCATCAATGCATATATCAATTTATCAATTCAGCACTCAATCGGCCAGTCAGTCAATCAATCCATCCATCCATCAAGCAACCAATCCATGCATCTCTCCAATTATCAATCCATTTAACAATCCATCTTCCTATCATCAATTCATATATCAATTTATGCATTCAGCAATCAATCCAAATCAATTTCTTTACCATTCTTTCAAGATTTTTTTGAACCACTGCTGTGTTAGTCTAAAGATAATGCAATAAAACATCAAGCCCTTTACAAACTAAACTTTAATTCAAGCACAAGCTTTCATTCTTGCAGTGGATCAGGTGGTTGTCTTTACGTTGGATGTGCATGTTTTTTTCAAAATTTCTCTGATCGGGGATCAGCATTTATTATTTGTGTAGTTGTTACTTTTTCTTTACATCATTCAATAAAGTCTCATTATTTGGATTCTGTAAAGAATTTCTTTTTTTTTTAACAGTATCTTAAAAGTAAAGTTAAACAAACTTCAATGAGTTCATCAGAGGATTCGGAAAGTGAAGATGAAAAAGAGAGGAACATAGTTTCTAACCATCAGACAGCCATTGCAAAGGTAAGCCAGTGTAAATATAACCACCTTCCAAGATGGCATTAAATGTAAACAGCGTCGTACGAGGCAGCCCAGCACAATTCATTTTATGCCTGGTCTGTGTGAGTTAAACGCACGGCCGCTCCATGGCAAAACAATAATTTTGTGCAGTTACGTTGTTTTGCTTTGGACGTGATGGGTTGTCATAAGTTTGCATCAGGGACAGTTTCATTATAATATTGGTTTGAGAATATTGAACATGTTTCTTCAGGCTGCAATGCTTGACACTTACCAACTGGTATGACATGTAGCGGTGTATTTATGAACTATGAAATAGGGGGCTGATAAGGGTCACAAAGTTGAAATGGGGGGGGGTGAGAAGTTGACATGAGGGGGAACTAGCATGCAAAATTAGGTGATTTTAGCCTACTAATTTTTTTGCTTTGAGCATTTACAGTAGGGGGACTGGGAGATGCGAGCTCTTTTTTTAAGGGGGATGTGCCACCAGATACGCCACTGATAAAGAAACAGTTTGTTTGATCAGATATTTCGGAACCAAGCATATACTATTAATGGGTGGTCATTGTCAGTTGAATCTGCTAACAGATACAAATTTGATCATGTATGCTTTGTTTGTAAATTAAAGGGCATTTAATGCAAGCTATTTACTGCTTGAGAACTCCTCTCCTTGATGATAAAATGTTGGAATTAATCTTCATTTATTACAGCTTCTTAATATTAATTTTACTTTTGATTCTTTCAGATACCAAATAAATCAAAGACTAAAACTTCAGAACCTACTGGTCAAGTATTCACTATCAAAATGCGAGGGGTTCCATTTACTTCTAAAGAGGTAGTTTGCTTTTAATTATTTTTTTTTCAAGAGCAGCACCTAAAAAAGGTCTTTGGTGCGGCTATTAAATGACAGAGGATCTTATTTGGAAGAGGCGCTTATAACCATTACATTACAATTTCAAAACATCCACATTTATTATCATTCTTTAACATCATTGATTTTTCATTGTAAAGATACAGAAGAAATGCACTAATGCTTCGTAATTTGTTTATAGAAAGACATCAAGACATTTTTTGCTCCATTGGCAGTTTCTGAAGTCCGGATACCAAAGAATAGTAAAGGACAAAAAACTGGTAGGATATCTCTGTCAGGGGTTCTAAGTCTCCAACAGGAGTCTCTCTCTCTCTCTCTTTAGGTTTAGGCTATCCATACCGACCATACGCACACCAAACAAAGCCAGCATTTTTTTTCGAGTCCTCCTCACTCCCTATATAGAAGTAAAATGAAACATCATTGCAACAGTACATTTCCCAGACGAAATAGTACAGTTACAATTTTGTTCTTGGCCTAGGCCTATTCATCTCGTGTAAAAAAAGGGGTCACTTGCTAGGTCAACACAACGGATGCATTGCATTTTTGAACATAATATTGCATGATGGGATAAAATACTAAGTACTGCAGAAACACGGCCTTAAAGTTGAGCATTTAACCACTAAGCTCCACACCGCATCATTTTTTAAATATTTAGGATAGAATAGGATGGGTATTTTTGGTATGAATCACACCAAGGATAACCCACTAAGACCGAAGATTTGTTTCAAGTGGGGTCCTTCTGGTGGTGACTTGGACAGTACGCCGGGAGACAATCCCCTACTCTTTTCCGAAATCCACTGCCTTCTTAAATGTGCACATGCGCCTTAATGCACACAGAACTAACAGCCTCAACATCTCATCTGAAAGACATTGCACTATCGTAACTTGCATTTCAGCCTTCCAGCTGGGACACAAGAAGAGCAGCGATGGGAATTCAACCGGGGACCTAGAGATCTCCACAGTTGAGCACACACACAGTGGCTACCACCAGTTTAGCCGACTTATCTAAGCCACTCTCTTTATCATTCCTCTAATATTTTCTTGTTCATTGTATTATCTAGGTACTGTGTTTGTGGATTTAACATCAAAAGCTGACTTGGAGGTTGCTATGAAACGAAATAAAGACTATATGGGTTTGTTGATTTTTATTATTATACTTTTCAGCGAAAACTAAAGGGCTTTATTCAACATTCAGAAACGCCTTGTACATTTTTTACTTCAAAATACATTCCAATAATTGTTTGTATGTGTTTTTACATCTTTAAGTTTCACTAATCATCATCTACACTATTGCTATTTCTATAGCCAGCACCTTACACAATACAATATCATCCCAAGGCTCTTTAAGAACTATTCTGATTTTATTCATTGATTATATAGTTTCATATATTAAATATTTCATTTTATCTTATGTTAATATTTTTTGCCACCAATTAATAATAGATATGTTAAATTGCTTTATATCATATCTGATTGCTAGATATAGTGTTTCTGATGTTGAAATATAATGCTATATGGATGATATAGTCTAGTACTATACAGGCATATTAATGATTATGACAAAAATTATACTTGATAAAATGTTTGTTACTTTAATTTTTTGTTTATTTCAGGATCTAGATATATTGAGCTGTTTGTTGATGACAAGAATGACAGATCCAAGGCTCAATTTACACCTCAAGAGCCAGCATGGGCAAAAAAGGTGCGTTTTGTTTTATACTTCGAGGTTGTTATGTAGGTTACAGTATGTAGATTTAATTTTAGTTTAATTTGGTGTGTTCGGCAGTGTAGCGCCACCCGACTTAACAGATACATACGGATACAAACATTGTCGCTAACGCCCAGTGAAGGTTCTTCGAGGAGCTAAGCGATCAGTCTCTGATGCTGGCCAGGTTCGAGCTGAGACTTCAGCACAAGAAGCAGGCCTCGGCCAACCACTCAGGATTTTATGTACTGTATACAGTCTTATTATGCATTCTCTTTTAACAGTGGATACCAGTGGATGAACTTGTTTTGCTTTTCTTTTTTAGGCTGCCGAATTAGAAGAACATGGAGAAAGTATTGCTGAGGTTAGTTTATAAGAATGAATTGATCATAATTCGCAATAATCTTATTAAAGCATGTATACACATTATAAAATTCTGTGTTTATCTCACGTTCTGTAAGCTTAGGTAAGTAATGTTACCTATTGGATCATTCAATTTGAAGCAAAGCAATTAAAGAGTTCCCTGCTTCCACCACAAAATGCACTCAAACTTTCAAAACCTTTGTTCCGTTAGTTTTGATAAATTGTAACTAAGCTATTATTTAATAGTAAATTGAAATATAATTGTATTTCTGGATTTTTTCCCGATTCCTATGGTATTGTATGCAATTAAACTTCATGATTTTCTGCAGACTGGGCGTCTATTTGTGAGAAATCTAGCTTACATATGCAAAGAAGAAGATCTTGAAGAGCTGTTTAGTAAATACGGTATGATTTTTTAAGCAACAGATATTAAGCCATATAATGAACTTTTTCAACATGCAAGTGAAGCTTGCTTTCAAATCCCGGGGTCCTGAGTTCAATTCACTAGCCTACAACCAAAACAGCTCCACTTCCAGGCCTCATAATATGACATACCATAAAACCTTGAATAAAAGCCCAATGGGCTTAATCTTGAGAAGAAGCCCATCTCAAATTGAAGCCCCTCTATTTAGTTTGCAAATGCTGCCTTGAAAAGAAAGCAGGACAACAGAAGGCTCTTAGTGGAAGGTTTGCATAGTTGTTTTGTAACATTTTGATTAAAAGGTTAAAAGGTTAAAGGATAGGGGATTACCTAACGGCGTACTGCCAAATTGACCACCAAGGCTGGCACTGTACAGCAATTACCTGGCTATGTAAATTTGCTCAGAACCTAATTGCTCTTTCACAAAAGTATTGTTTTGTAAGTATCAACTTCCTAAAAAACAACTATTTTCAATTATGTCAAGTGGGAAAACGCCCCTAAAAATAAATGGAACATTCAGCTCTATATAGAAAACCATGCATACATCCTCATTCCCTTTCACGCTATAATCGTGATAAAAAAAAAAGTCACAAATAAAGCTACGAATCAATAGTAGCTTACATTCTATACAGTATGAAAAAATAATATAAATATGATTTATTTATTGATGTGACTTATAATATTCTTGTTTTGGTTACAGTTCCCATAATTGGAATACATTATTCATTGGCTCAAATGCAGTGGCAGATGCTATGGCAGCTAAGTTCAATTCACTAGCCTACAACCAAAACAGCTCCACTTCCAGGCCTCATAATATGACATACCGTAAAACCTTGAATAAAAGCCCAATGGGCTTAATCTTGAGAAGAAGCCCATCTCAAATTGAAGCCCCTCTATTTAGTTTGCAAATGCTGCCTTGAAAAGAAGCCCATGGGCTCCTTTTCAAGATAGCATAGGCTTCTTTTTGAGATAGTACAGTACATACACTGTACATGAATTTCAAGTAAACAAAATAAATTAAAAGCATGCATCGTTTATATAGTAGTTTATGTGATTTAATGCCAGTTAATACACTCCATGTCTGTTTATTGTTTTATAGTAGTAATTCCCAAAAATTACCTCATTCCATTTTGAATAGAAGCACCCTTCTTTGCTTTGCAAAAGTAGCCTCAAAAAGAAGCCTCTCGAAAAGAAGCCCATTCACAAAAAGAAACAATAAGCCCAGGACTTCTATTCGAGGTTTTAGAGTAACTTATTTAAAGCATCTTGTGTATAAGTTTGTCCTGTGTAAGGAATTGCCACATATGATTAGGACAGTAATATTTGCTATGAACAATCCTTGTCTTATGTGCCTAAGTAAATGAATATAACAATTTATAAAATATATATTTATTTATAATTTATGTATATATATTTTTCATTATCATCAATCTTTAAATCATTGCAGGTCCATTAACTGAAGTAAATTTACCAATTGATTCATTGACGAAAAAAGTCAAAGGTTTTGCCTTCATCACATACATGATGCCGGAGCATGCTGTAAAAGCATTCTCTGAATTAGATGGATCAATATTCATGGTAAATAGTGCTGGTCTATCATTTTTGACTATTTTCTCAAAGAAACAATGTGTACAGTGATTGATTGATTGAGCGAGGGACTAAATTACAGAATGAATGATTGATTGATTAATCAATTGATTCATGATTGAAATAAATATGTGATTCACTTGACCTTTGTAATTGTATTACTTATTTTGCAGACTGTATATTGTTTTCCTTCTATTTTAGGGACGATTACTGCATATATTGCCAGGGCAAGAAAAGAAAACAGAGGAAGATTCTTTTGCCAATGAAGGATCATCATATAAGAAAAAGAAAGCAGGACAACAGAAGGCTCTTAGTGGAAGGTTTGCATAGTTGTTTTGTAACATTTTGATTAAAAGGTTAAAAGGTTAAAGGATAGGGGATTACCTAACGGCGTACTGCCAAATTGACCACCAAGGCTGGCACTGTACTGCAATTACCTGGCTATGTAAATTTGCTCAGAACCTAATTGCTCTTTCACAAAAGTATTGTTTTGTAAGTATCAACTTCCTAAAAAACAACTATTTTCAATTATGTCAAGTGGGAAAACGCCCCTAGAAATAAATGGAACATTCAGCTCTATATAGAAAACCATGCATACATCCTCATTCCCTTTCACGCTATAATCGTGATAAAAAAAAAGTCACAAACAAAGCTACGAATCAATAGTAGCTTACATTCTATACAGTATGAAAAAATAATATAAATATGATTTATTTATTGATGTGACTTATAATATTCTTGTTTTGGTTACAGTTCCCATAATTGGAATACATTATTCATTGGCTCAAATGCAGTGGCAGATACTATGGCAGCTAAGTACAAAACGTCAAAAAGTGAAGTATTGGATCCAGTAAGTCACATATATAATATTACTTAACAGTACATCTAATGATAGAATAGTCTATGTGCAACTGTAAAAGTTAATCCACACCACAAACATGATGACATGTCTGATACATGTGATAATGACAGTAATTATCGTAATAATCTAGGAAATGTTAAAACACCTTACTTAAAGATGCAAGTTGTGTAGTGTTTATTATACCAATTGAAATAATAATTAACAAATATATGTATTTATTTCTTTGTATAGGAGACAAAGAAAAGTTTAGCAGTACGGATGGCACTTGGTGAGACACAAATCGTTGCAGAGACCAGGCAATTCCTACTCGACAATGGTGTTGCACTTGACTCATTTAGTCAGGTAAAATAGTTTGTTCTTTATTAATTACCAACAACTTGACTCATCAATCCCCTAATTGTAGGGCTCACATGTTTCACATGCTATCTCTAGGAGATGATTGTGGCAGCAACACCTCAAAATTAGCAGGCAGCTCTTAGAAGAGAAGGATAAATAACAGAAAAAAAACTTATAGAACAAAAAGTTTTTGTTTCAGATTTCAGTTGCTGTATATAATTTGTGACAATCACGTTGTTAGAAGTGAAACAATATTGTCTTAACTGTAATTTATATACAAGACTTCAATGGTTGGTTCTTTGTGTTAAAATATGATTAAAGAGCCCTCAATTACAATAAATCAAAAATTTAAGAAAAAGTACAGACCTGCACCAAAAATATGTGCACACAAGTAGATTCTGAGATAAATTTGCTTTTCGGGAACAAGCAATATCAGTGGTGGATTCCAAAGGGGCTGAGCCCGCCCCGGGGCTCCCTAGATTTTTCAAAATTATAAAAACAAAATGGAGAACAAAATAAAATTGTAATAAAATTTAAGTGTGAAAGTGCCATTTCCTGGCATCTAGAGGTGCCATGATCATTAATTTTCTTACCTTGGCCCCAACCATGGTGTGGATAAGCTTGGTGGACCCTCTATCTGTGAAAGTCTCTCCCTGGGCCCCTTTATTTCAAATTCTGGATCCGCAACTGCTTATTATATGGTCATGCAGCCACTGTTACAAGCAGATTTTGTAGATGGAATAGGAAAGGAAAGTAAGTACTGCAGATGGTTCTCTGGTGCTCATTTATGCAAATGATTGAGAAAACAAGGGTTACACTTTTTTTTTGCTTGCAATTGTGAAAAGATGTATAAATGTGATAATGTACAAAGACATTTGACTGTTTATTATTTGCAGCCTGCTGCAGCACGTAGCAAGTCAGTGATCCTCGTCAAGAACCTGCCAGCTGGTACAAGTCCAGCAGAAATCAAAGAGGTCTTTGAGAAGTTTGGTGAACTTGGAAGATTGGTGCTTCCTCCAGCTGGTGTCAGTGCCATTGTTGAATTCCTTCACACACAGGAAGCACGAAAGGCATTCTACAACCTGGCATACACAAAGGTTGATATTTATTATTTTGTTTTAAATTGGTTGAAGCATTTGGAGCAGCATGGTTGGGGGTTCGAAAATTCTAGCCCTGCAGGTCAGCAAAACACTGTATCTGTGTGTGTGTATCTCTACCCAGTAGTATAAATGTGTACTGGCATATGCTGGGAAGGTAAAAACAGACTCACTTTGCAGAGGAGTAGCAATTGCACAATCTAGCCCCAATGCTTAAGGAAGAAGGAAGGGCACTCAGGATCTGCACAACTTTGACTATCTTTGTCATGTTTTAGATGTGATTGTGATAATTTAGGGTTTATCCTGTTTAGCCTTGTTTTTGATGATTGTCTTTGAACCTAAATTTTAATTTATTTACACACATTGAATAGGAATTTTCTGGTTTCCATTAGTTAGGACCCCAATGCTTAAGCTCTGTCCATACCATCAGATTTTATTTGACAAAAACATGTGACATGCCTAAATATGGTCATGATGACATCACATTGTGACCATATATAGGCATATCATGACTTTAAATGGGCATACAACATTTTTTTTGTCAAAGAAAATTTGATAATCTGGGCAAAGCTTTAGAGTTGATGTATGATACCCCTTCACAGTTCCAGCATGTTCCTCTGTACCTGGAATGGGCGCCAGTGGGTGTCTTCAATACCCCAACCCCAAAAATAGATGAGGAAGAAGATACGGAAAAGCAAGCTGAGGCAAAATCAGACAAGGAAAAAGTAACAGAAACAAAAGAGGAAGAAAAATTAGAGAAAGAAGAAGGTAAGTAGAATACAATTAACATTTTGCAAGTTGCTGCTGGAAATGTATTTGACATGTATATTACTTTAAAAGAGAACTAGCAAAATGATTTTTTGTTCTAGATTTGATATTTGATATGTCATTAATAATAGAATCAACCTTAAAATCGTTCTTTGGCTATTTTTTATGAAGTTATAGACGATTATATACGATTTTACCATGACGTCACTGGCGAAAAAGTAACAAAAGACCGTGTAAATAGTGCCGCGTAGGGTATCCATCGCGTAGTGTATCCGCCGCGTACGATCATTGCATGCATGCTGTAACAATCACAATTTACAGCCATGGTTACAGCGTTCACGCAAAGATCGTACGCAGCGGATACCCTACGCGGCACTATTTACACGATCTTTTGTTACTCTTTCGCCAGTGACGTCATAGTAAAATCGTATATAATTGCCTATAACTTCATTAAAAAAAGGCCAAAAAACGATTTTAAGGTTGATTCTCTTATTAATGGCATATCAAAAATCCTCTCTAGAACAAAAAATCATTTTGCTAGTTCTCTTTTAAGTAAGAGCTTAAATTTGAAACCATAATGTGCCTTATTCATGTTCACGAACATTGACTCTATTATTACTGGAAAGATGGTTATGATTCTTAATTGATGTCTTGTTTTAGAATCGGAGGAATCTGAAGATGAACCAGAACCAGAGAGCACTGTTTTCGTAAAGAACCTCAACTTTGACACAACAGATGACACACTGTTAAAGGTAATTTTATTCATTTTTATTTACAATTATCCAGTATTGTGTGTGTACTCTTATTCTCAATTGGAAATTGAATATCATTTGTATCACCATATTAAATACTGTATATATTTAATTTAATGAAAAATTCTGTTTCACACCATTAAAAACAAAATTACTCACCTTGACTAAGTGTTATACTGATATGATTTCAATTTTATAGATTTTATAGTGATATTTTTTTTATCTCCATATGAAGGTATTTTCTGAATGTGGTCCAGTAAGTGTCGCGACCGTTTCAAAAAAGAAAGACATGAGGAATCCAGGTGAATTACTTATTTATATTTAAAAATTTGAATGAATAATATATTAATGAATAACATTTTCATATCGTATAGTTCATTTTCACCAATTTTTTTTTTATATAAGTGAATTGCAGTAGTATCACTGTATTAAAGCCCCATTCCCGGCAAAATTTCACTAAAAACTGACCTTTTTTTAGAAAATATGCATTTGCATTACTCCAATTATTATAAATCATGAAAAAATATTGGCATGAATTTTAGTTTTACGCAAAAGAATAAAAAAAATGAGAAATACAGACTATTTCTCATAAAATATTACCGTTTTCTCGACGAATTCATCGTTACTAGGCAAATTCAGAGGTTGTAGATCGCATCCACTGGAATACTCTCGCTTTTATGTATACTTTATACAGTCAATAAAGTGTGCCCTCTCTAAAGAGATTAGTTTTTGTACTTCGCATCTCACACAATGCGGTCGTTCGGTTAGGCTGAGATGTGTTTGTTTAAGTGTCAAAATCTCAGTCAGAATCAGTTTTTTAACAAATTTGAAATAATTCCTATGAAATATTATATTTCACAAGTGTCAATACTAGCAACGGAAAATATCATGTCGGCCGTTTTTATGTGTGATAACAGAACCTAAATCGAGGTAAGGCTAGGCCTAGCCTAGCCGCGTTGGATAGGCTAATGTTTTCGGCGCCTACGATATTTCTTCTCACGACCTATCGCAAAATCAAAATGAAAAATTCATCCGCATTTATTTTTTGTGTGGAACACAAAAAATCAAATTTCAGTCTTATTTTACATTTTTTTTATTCTTAGGAATATCTAAATTCAAACTAGCAATTCCGTATTATATTTATAAATCTGTATAACATTATACAAAAATTAGATTTTTCTTAAAAACTGAAATTTTGCTGGGAATGGGGCTTTAACCATGTATGATATATAATGGGTTTTTTTTTATATTATTACAGGTCAATTTTTATCGATGGGTTATGGATTTGTACAGTACAAGAGACGAAGTGATGCAATGAAGGCATTGAAGGAGCTCCAGCACACATCAATTGATTCTCATACAGTAGAAATAAAAATTTCCAACCGCACCGTTCTACAGTGAGTCATCAATAACAGTGGAGTAACGAAGGGGCCAGAGCCCCCTCGGCTAAACCTGCTTTGGTTCCTTACTACATTGGGGACTCATTATTACACATTCTGGTCCTTAAGGGCCACCAATCAGCAAAATTGGGGCCATTGTTGGAAAGAGGGACTGTGGTCCATGCAAGGCCTGTGGCCCATGGCTTTTGCCAGTGAAAGCTCAATGACCTGTGTTATACAGCTGGTTAATAATTTTGTCAGTCAAATAAATCTTTCTCCATGTTTTTGTTGTAGTTTGTTAATCATGTTGAGTCACACATACACACAAGTACATGGTCTGTATAATAGGAGACACCCCTGTGAAGGGGACGCATTTTCAGCTGTGAAACAAGAAAAAAAAATATATCTTTTAACACTATGACCAACCAATATTAAAAGGATATTTCTTTATGGTTCCTAAAGGTGTCCCTTAATAGGGGTTCTACTGTATTTGTTTTCTACCTTATGTTATTTTCATAGTGCTGTCTTTTTTATCTTTACCATTGTAGGTATGCCATATTATTCTACTGGCATTAGATTTGTGTCTGCATAACAAAATATGTAAACACGCAACTTCTGTTATACCTTTTATTCTCAGAAAACAATCAACTTCTACAAGGAAGACTGTTAAGAATAAAAAACAAAAATCAACCAAGATTCTGATACGAAACATTCCTTTTGAAGCATCAAGGAATGAAGTTAAAGAATTGTTCAGGTAACGTACCATAAAGTGCTTGTGTTTTAATGGTAAAGAAATCAAGGGGTCATGTCTCTGCCTAAGATGGATCATTCAATGCAATTTACTTCTTTTTGTCCATGAATAAAATTGGTGGCTTGTTTATGGTAGTGAATTAACATACAGGAGTTATCCCTAGAAAAATTGTGTTACTTGTGTGTAACATAAAAGTTAGGTAAATACAAATGTAAAAGTGAATTTATTTCCCTGAGTACATACAAAAAAAAACATAGCAATTGAAAACAGTATCATTCATCTTTCTTAATAACTTACATATTTTTCTCCAATTTTACTTTAGTAATAACTTATTTTATATATTAACTTTTTTTCATTTCAGAAGGAGCAGATATACAATTTGAATTCATCTTTGTATATTTCTATGTGATTTTTTATGTATATTAAAATTAACAATGAACAATGAATAAAGTGTGCATCTTAAATTTATAGAACATTTGGAGAGATTAAAGCAATAAGAATCCCCAAGAAAATGTCAGGAACTGGTGGTCATCGGGGCTTTGGATTTGTGGACTTCCTCACCAAACATGATGCCAAGGTAAGTGGCATTTTCATTGTCACTGGGTGGGCTCAACCTTTCCTGTGTTGGCACACTTCATCAGCATTGATAAAACAGACCTAAAATATATAGAATAGATCCTAGAAGGACGAGTGGGAAATGGCAAATATGAACTAAGCTTAGACTTGATGGCCCGACATATTAAAAACATAACACCACTCTTTCCAGGAGGATATGGCCCAGGCCTCTATAGAGTCTAATTGAGAGAGGCTTGGTTGGGCCTATTTTTAAGTTCTTAATACAGTACCTTATGTTCTACCCTACCTCGTAGGCTAAATCTGTGGAGTTCAGCAGTGAACAGGGTTATTTGTAAGTTATCAGTCCATGTCATTCAGCAGGCCAAGAACCAATACTAAACTGTTTTAATTCAAGTAGGTAGGCAAAGGGGAGCTGGCCTAGCTTAGCCACCTACTGTAGCCTGGTCAAGACATGGCGCATCTTCAATTTGAAAATTAATAAGATTAATTAATATGCATGAGTGAATGAACTGTCATGCATACGATATCCCACATCGAATTTGATGTGGGAAATCGTATGCATGAATGATCAGACAGTATTTTCCCAGGTCCTAATCTGAAGAAAAAAAAAAGAAATCAAGTATGGGACACTAATTAAATTAGGTATGGCGCGCACTAAACGCAATAAATAGTGAGTAACCCAAAATTAGGGCCTGGAACCCAGGCTACATTGTCTCTAGCTGGGGTACAACCTTCCCAGTATCAGGACACATCATCCATGACCATTAGAAAACTGAAGAAGTCACATTTTGTACAATTTATTGTTATTGGATTCTATTCATTTAAATATGTTGTCTTGACCCTTGTTTAACCTCCAACTCCTGTTCTGTATATGTTTCTAATTTGTTGTATTTTCCCAACATATAATTAAACTATTCAATTAATACAATTTAAATAAACCAGTAATAAAACGAATTAGTCACCAAACCAAAGCCGTTATAGTGGGTATAACATCAAAACAAACCGCTAGGTGGCAGTTTTTTCACACAATAATAAGCCTCCGCTCGAGTAAATTTTGACAGTTTTTAAACTCCTCAAACTTATTTATTTGTGCATTTTATCGTACAATAACTTTTTTAAAAACCTTGGTAAATATTTCTTTAATAAACGTAACATTATCAACCCGTTAGATTTGAAATGGAGTGACATTTTTAGTTCCTATGCATGTAATGCAATAGGAACTATTGTAATCACTCTTGCTATTTCCTATGTTTTTTATTGTGTGTAGTGTGTATGTGTGTGTGTAGACATTTATGCAAATGCGCATGCGTCAAAGAAAAGTTTTCCGACATTTTGTTTTACATCGCGTGTGTGTGTGTAGACATTTATGCAAATGCGCATGCGTCAAAGAAAAGTTTTCCGACGGTTTTTCTGTTGTATACGTATGAGTAGTCATATGAAGGTACTATATCCCCGACAGTTGGCTGTGCAGCAATGTACCCTTTGAATGCAAACTGAAAACAGGTGAAAATATAAAGGCAGCCGACTG